CGGCGATTAACGGTTTTAACGGTCGAGCTGGCAGCGTGCCTGCCGCTGAGGGAGCCGCGTGGCGGCCGGGGGGGCCCGGTGCCTCGCAGGAGGCTTCCCCCTTCTCCGTGCCGGGCTTGGCAGCCGCCCACTCCCTCCGGGGTTGGTGGAAAGGGGAATCCGTGAGGGACGTCCCCGCTCCCCCGGGGGGGTGCGGAGCGGGAAATGGGGGAGATGAGGAGAGAGGCCGGGCAGGGCCCCCACAGCCTTCAGGCAGGGATGAGCCGTGCTGGGTAGAGGCCGTGTGCTTTCGCTCAGATGGTGCCCGGTTTTATTCCTATAAAGAGTACCATTGCTCCTAAATTTTGCCCCTCCCCCAGCTTTTTTTTTTCCTTCAATCTTGAAAGGCAAAAATGACTCATTCTTAATAGTTCTGACTGGAGCTGGTTCAATTGTAGGCTAGATGTCATAGTTGGCATCACCTAACTATGCTATAACTGCCAGAGGGGAAATAAAATTATATTTTCAGAAGCTTTAAATTTTCTTTTGCAAAATGCTTATTCGACCTTTATGTCCCAATTTTTACATGGTCTGTAAGGCCGTTTTATTCACACACAGGGTAATTAGCTTTCAAGTGAAGTATGGGTGAAAATGTTCCAGCTTGGTATCCCTTCCAAAATATCTACGTGCCATCCATCAAAATGCTAAGTGGAATGCAGCATGACCTTCTTTAACAATGGAGCAGTAGAGTGATTTCAGTGGAGGATATCACGATGTGGCATTGATGGTATCAGCAAACATCACAGTTAGGCAAAAGACATGATGCTGTTTCAGAGTACAGTTCAGTGTTGCACAGCACCTTGGCAGCATGTAAGCTGGTAGCAGAAATCTAGGTGATGGGGCTCCTTAAAAATCATGATGCAGTATAGTGACATAAAACAAGATGTTTTGCTATCCAGCAATCATTTTAATTATGCTAATACTGGCTTGGCATCAAAGTGGTAAAGTAATGCACTGATGGATTACATTATGACTTTATACAAATCATTTTACAGATTCGTGCTTCCTCCTACTTCTTCTAGTCCACCCCTGGAACACTGACATATTTTCAGGATAATTCTTGTCTCAACTTGCATATCTGGTTTCGCTTCGAGTTGTTAAACCTGAAAGAGTTTTTAAAATCTAATTTATTGTCTGGCACCTGCACTGCCTAATTTGCTTTTTGGATTCCAATCAGGCAGGACATTGTCTGTGTCTCATCCACAACTGCAGTGCATAGGAATGATCAGCTCTTAAAAAGCAACGCTATAGAGAGCTTCCTCTTCATAAACTACCTGGTCAATTTTCATGCTAGTACCTTTTAGTAAAATACCACATCCTGCCTTAACGTTCAGAACCCTATCATGTCTAGAGGTGGTGTGTCCTAGATCTTGGGCATTTCTCAGCTGCCTGCCATCCAGGCCTCAGAGGCGAACTTGAGGCTCCTCTGCCTTTCCCTTTCTGCAGCCTACCTTCTGTAGAAATGCTCTTGGCCCCATCTTTTGTATCTGCCAAAATTACTGTTAAATATCCACAATATTTCTAATGTCACTTGAGAAATTACTGTATCTGTTTAGATACTGTATCACTTTAGATTTAGGAAGTGGGGGAAGCAGAAGAGCTGGGTTTTTCTTCTGACAGAGAGGTTCCCTTTCCATGGAGGTTCTTCTGTGCAGAACAGCTGATGCACAGATCGGATGAGGAGATGGATCATTCAAGGTTTTCCCTCATCATTAGGCTATTCGTCCCCTCTTCCATAACAAGAATACTACACCTGAGTCTTCCACCGCAATTTGGCACCTTATTTGTTTGACCAGCCCAGTGAGTTGCACTGCCATGCTGGACTGACAAGTCTGCATCGGTTGGTTAGTTGACCTCTCCAGCAAAAAAATTACAGATGTAGCAGAAGTGTTTTCAAAAGCATCAAGAAAAGAAGCTGAAAGTGGCAGATGGAGGGAGTAGAGAAGGGAGAAAAAAAGCTGTGTGATAAGACCTTAGTACCCACTTCTGATGTAGCAGGTAAAAAATAAATACCCCTTCAGACAAACACATGTTCTGTTTTTCTTTAAATTGGTGACCTGAAGCCTTCAGAGTAAAAGTATTTATTCGTTCTTACTTCTGCTTTTTTTATCAACAGCAATCATAGTCCACTAGTCCTTTGTCTTTATAACAGCAAGATTATACATCACTGTGATCTTGGCAACTGCTCCTGTGGATAACCTCACTTAACTGGAAGGATCATCAACAGACCTTCAATTCTGCAAAACAAGAGCTTATTTCCCACTATTAATTTAATAGGTCATTTAAAAGCTTAATGGAATAAATAGCTCTATGATTTTCCCTAATCGGGTCCCAATATGGTGCTCAACATGTTTTGACATCTCACCATGCATTGAATTGGTTACCATCTGTTTGGCATTTTTTATTATAAGAGTAGGGGTTTCCCTTTATTTCCTTGGCCAAAATTCTCCTCCCTCATGCTGTTGCATAGTGCACTGAGGTGACTGTGTTCCAAAGATTGTTTGTCGCTGCCTGTAACACCCTTCAGGCTTGTTCAGGATGTACGATACTAAGTAAATATAAAAGCAAAAGATTAGGCATGCAGGTGTGCCAACTTTGCACCAAGAACCTGGCACTCGGATTCTGATCAAAACTAGCATAGCTATATTTTAATGGGCAGAGTGATGCCAAGCCTCACCTAACACCATCTGGCTGTGAAACTTCTGTATTTACAGCAGCATCGCTCGAATGTCTTCATTTTTGGAGTCCTACATCCTTTTGCCAGCTGTCCCAGCAAAACACTCATGACTGCTCCCTGCACTCAGGAAGCTAACTTCCTGAGATCTGCATATGGCTGGAAGGTAACAAAAAAGGCTTGTGCTATCACAATTCTAAGATCTGAGCATGACCAAAAAAACTCCTACTTTTTGCTCTATCTTAGAAATCTCTTCAACTCTTCCGTTTCCCAAATCTTAATACTAATCCAATAACCCTGTCTGGTATCAGTTTGCAACCTAGATTTCCAGGGTGTGCAGGTCCTAGAAGTAAACTGATTTCTTCAGTGATTCTTTTGTTGAGTATTATCCCTGGCCTTAACCATAGTTAGCCAATCTACATGCATCTGAAAACAAAAATTGAATTATCACTTATCAGCTCTAGTCCTTACTCTAACCAGCCAGTAGTTAAAAGATCCTGTAATAAACCAGGATCTTCTACCCTTTTTTTCCTAGCCCTAACCTTAACTGTAGCTGGATGACAACTTTCTGCACCAAAATAAAGCATACACCCTTAAAGGTGGCTGCCCAGAGTACTGTCATAAACCCTTGCCAATTGTAGCATTTACTATTGTTTAATGGGACCTAAATAATGCTGCGGTCCTAGGCATATTTCTTTCCTACTTTGTTTTCCCTAGCTGTCGCAAGATATGTAGCTTGGATGCAACAATCATGCACACTTACAGGGGATATAAATGTTTGCACAGTACATCTTGAAGAAAAACATTTATGGAAGAAGTAAGCAAATTCCTTCTCAGAGAAAGATAGGAAGGCAAAGAGAAATAATCACCAGGAAAGCAATTGTATTGTCCTTCCTTCCACAATGTTTTTAATTTCCTCCTCTACAATCATTCTCCAAGGGTAAGCAGAAGGGGAATTAAATTTTAAAAAACCTAAATGGCTGTTAGGTCTTTCCTCCATAGACTTCCACTAGAAGTTAGATATAAGGCTACAGCTGATGATATTCTTCAAATTTATTTTAACTGAAATATTAAAGGCCTTGTTTGTGTAAGCAATGCGCTCATGTATTACGCAAGTGCTTACGTTCACTAGTTTTTATTACATATGGCTTTTATTTTCCTTACATTTACACAAGGAAAAAAAAATAGCACTTAAAATAAACATGGTAGTCTTCCTATTAGATACATAGCCATCATCTATATTTTTATTTATGTACCAAATGCCAACAGATTCATGTGATGCTCTTCTGACCTAATCCCAGTTCTGAGGAATCCTCATTCCAGCACACGTCGTTCGGTGCCTATCCATGTTTCCTTAGAAACTCCCCTAACATTGCAACCCTATGCTGAGTTTCTCATTAAGCCAAGACATAAACATACTACATTTCAGATGTGACCCAAATAAAACGGTAACTGAAGTGGGGCACTAACAATCCTTTCTATAGGTGAACTGAGCACCTATAGAAGGAGCTAGACTGGAATCCCAGAAAGATAAGGATGACTTGTATCTTAAATTGATATGAATACTCCAAGCAATGCTGCCCGGCTGTTCTCAAGGGCATGGGCCCTACTCCAAAGTGCTCAGGCTGTGAGAAAACTGAACAATAGATAAAGGTGTAGTTTCTAAAGAAAAAGAACCAAAATGCATGAGGCATTTGTATACAGGATAAAGGCTAGAGTTCAGTCCTCCAAAAAGCAGCTTTCACTGCTCCTATCCACAATGCGTGTATCTGTGTATGGCCATTACCGTTATCACCCCAGCACTGGGGAGCCTTGCCACATGATTAGAAGAGAAAAGCTAGGACAAATTGAAGTTCTGATATTGAACACA